CCTGCCTGCAGGTACTCATGCTCCTTAAGTCTGACTTTGCCCATCTCCCTTTAGGGAGTGCTTCTTGCCAACAGAACTCAGGCTCAAGTGACCGGGGCGGGGGCGGGGGGTGGGGGCTCCCTAGGTTAGGGTCAAGGAGGCTGCTTGGGGCTCTGGATTTCTGGAGTTGGGTGGTGGAGTTGGCTGGCGGGGCTGTGGGTAGATGTAGGAATTTGCTACGAAGTGAGGTGTCTGCCTCCAGGCAAGACTGGACTTAGTGATGGAAATGTTAAAATGTGGTCACATAAACCTTAAGGAAAGCCCAGCCAGGGAGTTGCTGTTTGACCTTGAGCAAGTTCCTAGTTCCAAATGAGCTTCACTTCTGTCTGTAGCAGAGCTACTCACAGGTTCTTAGAAGAGAATGCTCTCCCACCCTCCTTTATAGCTAGGAGTAGAGTTAAATGAAGTGTTTTTTTCTCAGGCTATTGATGTGGATGAGAGTTGGGAGAGTGTGGCCTAGACATCAGCCAAGACTGATGTGTTCCTCTCTGGCTTTGTGTTGTAGGGCAGGTGTCTTCTTTCTCTGAGCCTTAGTTTTGCTGACTGTGAAATGGGTATATTTCCCTCTTCGCCACTTCTGTTCCTGCTAGGACTTTAAAGGACCAAGAGCCCCTCCCTTCCCAGCTGGGATACTCCCACAGACATTGGGGTTGGGGATGGATCCCAGCATATCTTATTTCTTAATAATGATCATTCACACCTCAGCAAAGTAAACTTTCTTTCTGCTATTGCTTTTGGAGCACCCCTTGACAGTGCCCTGGAAGGTAGTGATTGGATTGTTCCCATTTTACAGATGAGGAAGCTGAGTCTCAGACAGGGGAAGCCATATACCCAAAGTTTTCATCCAAGGCTCTTGCCAGATGTTGGGAGTGGTAGTATGGGACTGTGAGGCGATAGATCGTCTTTGTCACCACCCCTTATAACTAGAGGCCCTTCTCTCTGTTGGTCTGGTTTCTCAGCTCCTTACCTACTTTTCCTTCCCTGAAGAGTGTGTGCCTTTGTTAGGGGGCTGGCCAGATTCCCACAGGCCAGAGACTCTGAGATCAACTCCCTTGAGTCTTGTCACTGCCCAGCCTCAGAAGACAGCCTGGCAGAAGAGAAGCAGTGGGGACCACTGTGCACCACTAACTGGGTGGCTAATTCTGGGTGTTTACTGGTCACGGGGGTCATGTCCCAGCATGCTCAGCTCCAGCTGATTGGACATCTCTGAGACTCCATGTCCTTACCTCTAATGGTGTTTTATAAGGCACACAGGAAATAGCATGGTTCTGACTGTTATTAACTGGGCTCCCAGGATCTCAGGTCTGCTAGGGCAGAGGTTTGCAAACCTGGCTGCACCCAGAAATTGCTGGAGAATTTGGTTAAAAAATCAAGGTGCTCTTGTTCCCCAGCCCTCTGAAGATTCTAACCCAGAAGGTCTAGGGTGGGCTTGTAGTCTGTTTCAGTTATTTGGGGGGTTCATCTCAGCACCCTTTGTTCTTTGTTTGCTTGGCTGGATTGACTGCAAGAAGTAAGGCCATGTAAGGATGTGCACTTGCTCGTCAGAGGTTACAAATTTACTCACCTATGCTGAGCAGGCAGACAGTGGGCTGGGATGACCTGGAGAGAAAGCTCATCCTAAAATGAAGCCCAGTGGGACCAGATTTTCCACATTTTTCTCCCTCACAAGAGCCCAGGTTTTTTTGTTGTTGTTGTTTTTTGTTGGTTTTTTTGTTTTGTAATCTCCCAGTTTGTAATCATTGGCACTAGTGCCAGCACTGCCAAGCTGTGTGGCCTTTGACCTTGCACTAGGCCTGCCCCATGCTAGACAAAAGGTGGTCACTGGCCCCTACTCACCCTCTCTGCCAAGTGCCAAGCCCCTGAGCAGGAAAAGTGTGTGTGAATTCTAGTTCATACATTTCCCAGCTATGTGACCTTGGCCAGATGCTGTCCTGAAAAACAGGGACAATCCTGTGAAAGGCTGGTTTTGAGAATTAGGGCCCAGGCTTGTAGAGCTCAGCACAGAAGAAATAATTTGTGCTGCTGTTCATAGGAAGGAACAAGGTGTTAAGCTGACAGTTACACTGGCTCCTGGCTGTGTCAACAATGTTTCAAGCTGGGTATCAAGGATGCATAGATTTGTGGGGCCTCAGTGTAGGAGGAACAGAAAATAGCTATCCTTGTTTGATGCACTGTTCAACTTTGCAGGGCCTGACAGATTCCAGAGCTTTCCCTGGCAGGTTCTCAGCCCAAGCTTCTGAAGTTAATGAACCCTGCTGTTGAGCTGAGCCCTCAGCTTCCCCCACTTGGACCTCTGCTCTGACCCTAGGGAGGAGACTACCCCCACCTGTGCCTATTCCACTTCCTGTCTTAGGTCCTTACTTCCCTTTTTTTTCAGTAGGCCCCACCTTCCACATTGAGGGTTGTATTGGGTCCCCAGAACAGGGACCTGGCTGCTAGACCCAGCAGGCTACCAGTGGGCCAGCTTCTTATATCACCTTCAGTGAAGCCTCCTACCAGTCCTCCTGGCAGCGGTAGGGTGCAAGGACAGGCTTGTAATTGGCTTATTTCCTAGGTTTCACACTGATTGTGTGGCCTAGAGCAAGTCTCTTCCTCTTGCTGAGCCTCAGTTTTTCTCTCCTGTAAAATGGGTTAACAGTATTTTCATTGAAGAGTTAATGGAAGTCACACTTGGGGAGACACTGTGGGAATGGCTAAGGAAAAAAAGAATGCTGCTTTTCCTTGGACTAAAAGGCCCCCAGGGCCAGGAACCAGGTCAGAACCTCTTACCCAGCAATGGTGGGAGAAGACCTGGGTTGCAGTCATCTTTGGAATTTCTCCTGAATCAGCCAGTTGGAAGGGAGGAAACTGGGGTCCCCGTCCCCTGGTATGAGCCCTTAGCTTCCTAGAAATCAACTTGAGGCAAGAGAAGGTCTTTATCCTAAACCTCACCCCAGGTCAAGGTGCCCTGGAGCCAGCTGGCTCAGAAACATGCAGACCAGGTCTCTGAACTTGACAAACCTCTACTCTGAGGGGATGTGATCCCATTTCACAGGGCAGGAAAATGAGACCTGGGTTCCCTACAGGCTGAGAGCCTGGCCCTGGTGTGTCAGCACTGTACCCCAGGGCTTAGAGGAGGGCCTGTTCCATAAAGAATGCCATTGGCTCCTACAGTCTCACCACAGGGGCCAACTCCTAGTGGGGCAAGTGACTGAATTACTCTGGGCCTCATTTCTTTTTCTTCTTACCTCTTAGGGTTGTGAGTCCCGGCCCAGCCCATCCACCTCCCTGCCCCCCTGATGCAACCATGGGTGCTGGCAGTGACTAGTTGGCCACCCTCTGCTGCTGTAGGTCAATCTGCAGGACCCAGAAGTGTTCCAGGCCAGCTCTGGGGAAGGTAGGAATGAGTCTTCCAGCCCTGGTGCTTGGGGGTAAAGCCTTGGGTTTGGGTTGTCTTCTCACCCCCGTAGGGATAGCACCTTGGCTTCCCGCTGTGCTCTGTGCATGAATGGCCCCATCAGTCCTACCAGGGCCTCCTCTCTGTGGTACAGCCCCGGCCACGAGGGCCCCCTGGCCAGCCCACCTTCCCGGGATGAGCACTTACCCCCCCAGCAGCCGCGGCCCCGACCACCACACCTCCCCATAGAGGAGCACCGAGCCTCGGCTCCTGCCGGCGGGAGCCCCCGAATGCTGCACCCAGCTACCCAGCAGAGCCCGTTCATGGTTGACCTCCACGAGCAGGTAGGCAGAACACTTTCCCACTTACTGCTGTTCCCCAGTCTCTGACAAGCTGGCCTGAGAAGCAGAGGCCCAAAGATGAGATTCCCCTTGGCTTAACTCATCGCATATTTAGGGGTGGTATGATAGGCCCTGTTTTACATTAAGTAAACTGAGGCCCGGGGAAGGGGAGGCACTTCCCTCAGGCGACACAGTGAATGACTGCCTAGGAGAACTGGACACCACTCGTACTCCTAAAGGGCTGTTCTTCCCTGGGTTGCCTTTGCCAGGAACAGTCTGGTCTATTCCTAGTTATGTCCCAGCTGGAGAAGGGACAGAACAGCTAAGCCTGGCAGGACGTTTTCTCCCTAGGGTAGTACAAGTGGCCCGGCTACCTCCCTACAGCTCCCCGGCTCTCTCTATTCACAGGTGCACCAGGGACCTGTCCCTCTGTCCTACACAGTCACTACAGTGACCACCCAAGGCTTCCCCTTGCCTACAGGCCAACACATCCCTGGCTGCAGTGCCCAGCAGCTCCCAGCATGCTCCGTGATGTTCAGCGGGCAGCACTACCCCCTGTGCTGCCTCCCACCCCCGGTGAGTGGGTGCTTTCTCCTCTCCTGGCCCCCTTGCAACTCCGAGGAACTTGGCACCCCAGAACTGAGTAAATAGTGCTCACCTAGACTGTCAGAGTGCCTGAGCTCTCGGCCACAGCCCTTCCCAGAAAAGCGTGTATGTATCCTCACACAGGGACAGAGCATTTCAGGGTTCAAGTACTTCCCTATACCTTAGTGCCTGCCTTACATGTTAGCATATAGGCCCTGGAGTGGGAACAACGGCCCTTTACAGCCGTGTTCCATCTGGGTGGCCTAGGGCAGAGATGGGACGACCAGAGCCAGTGTGGCTACTGGGTTTGTGTTCTCGGTGAGGACCTTTGATTGGATGTATGGCCCCCAGTCCTCACCACAAGCATAGACCCAGCCCAGAGCCTAGAATATTCTCCAGCCCCCCTCTCTCAGCAGCTAATCCAGGCGTGCACCATGCAGCAGCTCCCTGTGCCCTACCAGACCTACCCCCACCTCATCTCCAGTGACCACTATATCTTGCATCCTCCACCGCCGGCTCCACCACCCCAACCTGCCCACATGGCACCTCTTGGGCAGTTTGTATCGCTGCAGACCCAGCACCCACGTATGGTAAGTGTGTGGGGCATGGGTCTGATGCTAGAGGGGAAGGTGGGGATTTGCCTTGTCACCGGCTGGCTGTCCACCCTTGCCCTGTCTAGCCCCTGCAGCGGCTTGATAATGATGTGGACCTGCGGGGGGACCAGCACCCACTGGGTGGCTTCAGTTATTCCACCTCTGCCCCTGGCCCAGCTTTGTCCACTTCAGTGCCCCTGCACTATCTGCCCCATGATCCACTGCACCAGGAGCTGTCCTTTGGCATGGTGAGTGCAACCCCCAACCCCACCTGGGTTAATTGGGAGGCAGGCCCGCAGGCTGACCTGCACCCGGCCCCCTTCTTGCAGCCGTACTCCCACATGATGCCACGGAGACTGAGCACCCAGAGATACCGCCTGCAACAGCCGCTGCCGCCACCCCCGCCCCCACCCCCACCACCTTATTACCCCAGCTTCCTGCCCTACTTCCTGTAAGTACTAGCACATCTGCCCCAGAGCAGGGACAACCTGTTCTCCTGGGGCCTCCAATAGTCAGACACAAATACAGCCCCAGAGACCCTGGGGTACGCAGGGATTTTAAAACCCATGTAGTACTCCCACCAAGCTGTACAGCCAGACGCACACCCACACACATCATTTGGGTTCCCTGCCCCTCCTGGAGTGCCCAGTGTGAAGTGTGTAGTGCTCTGGGTTTTGTTTTTGTGGAGGAGTTAGGGGAGCTACTCTGTGCCCTTGCCTCTACTGCCCTTGACCCTGGTCCCCCCACACCTGCCCCTCCAGCTCCATGCTGCCAATGTCGCCAACAGCGATGGGGCCCACCATCAGCCTGGATCTGGATGTGGATGACGTGGAGATGGAGAACTATGAGGTCCTGTGGCATCCCTGCTGGGAGGTGGTGTTTGGGACACTCCAGCCAAGGTGCTGTTGACCTTCCATTCTGTCCACCTCCAGGCCCTCCTGAACCTGGCCGAGCGGCTGGGAGATGCCAAGCCCCGAGGCCTCACCAAAGCAGACATAGAGCAGCTCCCATCTTATCGCTTTAACCCAGAAGGCCATCAGTCAGAGCAGACGCTGTGAGTGCCACGCCCCCATCTCCTGCCCCTGAACAACTGGGCTATGAGAAGATCCCTTCAGGGAGCTTCACCCATGGCCTGGGCCCTCCCTCAGCTGTCAGCGAAGGAGTGATACCCTTCTACCCTGCTCCAGGTGTGTGGTCTGCTTCAGTGACTTCGAGGCACGGCAGCTGCTCCGCGTCCTCCCCTGTAACCATGAGTTCCACGCCAAGTGTGTCGACAAGTGGTTGAAGGTAAGGCAGCCCAGGCTGCGTCCTGGGTGCTCCTCCCATGTGACGGGGAGGGCAGGCCTAGGCTTTCCCTTGTTGTCATTCAGAAGTTCTGGCTCCATGGGGAACAGAAAGAACCAGGTGAGAGTGAAACCTGACTTGCGGCTGCTCCCTTTAGGCCAACCGGACGTGTCCTATTTGCCGGGCTGACGCCTCTGAGGTACCCAGAGAGGCTGAGTGAGGCCCCACAGCTGCCCACGAGAACCCTGCCCGAAGCTCTGGAAACTTGAGGGGGACCCAGGGAGGGGATGGCCCAGGCCTGTCCCATTGTTCCCACCTGCATCTCCAGAGCTGGAGCCAGGGTCAGCCCTGCGAGAAGCCCCTGCAATAAGCCCCTGCATTTGCCAAGCTCCAAAGACTCCTTTCCTCATCTGCCTGCCTATCTGCCACCACGGAGCTGCCTGGGGAGTCCCAACTCAGTCTCCCTCCTGTTTGCCCTTGGGTCCCTTTTTTTTATCTGCTTGGCACTGGAAGCCAGGGCTCTCCCCCATTGTGGCTGGTGGAGGTCCTTGGCCTCAGCGTGGGCAAAGAGTTCACTATACTGGGTCACCTGGTCTCTTGCACTGAAATGTTGTCCCCACCCCACCCCGCGCCCCAGTGGCACTTCCAGGTGTGTGGATAGTGGATAGATGGTGACATGAGGCCATTTCCTAAGCCCCAGGGCTGAGTCCTGCTTGACCCCAGAAGAGTCAGGCCACCAGTCCTCACCTCAGATTGGAGGGCGTCCCAGTGGGGCCTCCTGAACAAATGGAGACAGGGCCCGGGCGGGGCAGTGTATGCTGAGGGGGTCCCTGTGTTCACCAGTGACAGGGCCAGACCCATGTCCGATCTCCCCTCTGTCATTTTGCATGAATGTGAGGAGCAGCAGTTTTTGTTTATTCATTTGGCCCAAAATTTCATGTAGGATTTGGGGGTGTGGATATTTATGACATTTTTTCCTTTGATTTAGTTGGGGGTACAGGGATCAACTAGGACCGAATGCCCAGGGGGCAGAGAAGGGTCAGGCGGTGCCACCTAGACTGCATATATGTGCAGCTGGGGCAGGGGCAGGGCCAGGCAGCCGGCAGTCAGAGGGCAGGGTTGGGGGATTCTGTGCTCAGCTGATAACTGCCATGCACTGTACTGCACATGTCCCTAGAGCCTACTGGGACCGTCCGCTTTTCAGGGCATTTCTCCCTCTCCAGCCAGGGTCCACCTCCCACCTGCCTAGGTGAGTCTCCAAGGCATCCCAAGAGGGCAAGGCTCAGGGACAGTGGGGACCTTCAGTCCTGGAGGCCCCTCCCAGCCTGATTCTTGCCCTTCAAAGTCTGGAGGGGGGCCCTTTAGGGTCTGGCTGAGCTCCCCACCCTCCTTCCCTGGTCCCATTCCTCTTCTGCCCCTAGCTGGGGTTGCTGCCCTGAACGAACGAACCGCGTGTGGGGCCGGCACATCCTAGCAGGCAGCCCTTGGCGCCTGCTGCCTCAGGGATGCTCCAACCACCCTCGTTCTCCCCGCAGCGGCCCTGGCCCCCTGCCTCCCACCCCAGCCTGCCATGGGACCCCTCAGCCTGGTCCCACCCCTGTGGAGAACCCAAAGTCTTAACTGTATATAATTCCAGGTGACGTTTCTATATTTATAACAGTGTTGAAAACCCACATGTTTTACACAGAACCACTCTTTCCAACCCCTCCCTTCCTCACCCCAACAAAATGTTTTCAAAACCCTTACAGTTCCTGGGGCAGGCGGAAACAGGTTCACGGATTGTGTCGTCTGCAGCAATGATTCCAGCAAGCAGCTACTGGGGGGGATACAACATTTTAAAAATCATAAAAAAAAGATTTATGAAACAATTATTTAGGATTGTTTGTGATTTGCTGACCTTGCTATAGATGCCATGTTACCAATGATTTCCTGTGGTGGGGGCTTGTCATTGTTTACTCTTTTATTTACCAACTTCTGGCCTAGGCATGACAGTGGGCACCTTCCCCCAGCCCTGGCTGGGCCCAGCGCCTGTGTTCTGTTAGAAAGTTTTTATATACGTATAATTACATATATATATATATATATATAAATATATGTAATTTTGGGGGCCCTGTTCCTTGCACATTTTACAGTTACCTCATTTTTCCCATGTATGTATTTGAGAAAATGCTAATATATAGAGAAAAGATGGTTCTTAAAGCTTAAATGTGTGGTTTTTTCCATTCCATTGGATTCACATTGGTTTGTAGCATTTAACATAACTAGTATGTTGTATTATATATATGTGTATACTGATTGAAATTTTTAACAGATTTGTACTTTTTTTAAAATGAAAGTTGCTAGTTCTGCTTGACCAAGTAGTGCAATCATTATTTTTTTTAATATTGTTGCTGATTTCAGAGGGATATTCACTAATAAATGTATGATGTATACCAAGTACTGCCTGAGCTGTGGTTGGCTGCCTGTATTATTTTGGTGGGAAGCAGGGGTGGGGAATGACAGCAGGCTAAGGACAGGGATGGGATGGAGTTGGGCAGGGGCACAGAGATTGTTCTGGGCCCTGGAACCTTGGGGTAGTAGCACCAGCACCTCCTCATGAAGAGCAATCTTCCTGCCAAGCCGGTTCTGTGCTTACTTTTCCTGGGCCATCTGCCTCACATTCCAATTAGGCAGGATTCTATCTGATTGATTTGGTGTGGGGTGGGGGGCTCCATTAGTGTTCCTGACATTTACATTAAAGTACTGGACTTCTAGGTTTGATCCCCAGCACAGCAAAATAAATACTGAGGTAGGTTCTTCTGGTATGACCAGATTAGGTGCCAGGGCCTGTCATAAGAAAGGTAGTCTGATTTAATAAATGGTGAAGGATTAACAAAGTATCTTCATTTTCTGTCATTTAAAGACATGATTTCACATCAAGCTTGGGTGATACCTGCATGCCTTCAAGAAAGATTAAAAAATAGCTCAGCGTGGTGGCACAGGCCTGTAATCCCAGCACTTGGGAGGCTGAGGCAGGAGGATTGCTGTGAGTTTGAGACCAGCCTAGACTACATAGTGAGTTCCAGGTCAGTCTCAACTACATAGTGCCTCAAAAATAAATAAATAAATAAACAAACATGCCAGGGATGTAGCTTAGTGTTGCCACAGCTGCCTGGCACAAGGTCCTGGAGTTTGATTGCAGGTATGGTGGGGAGGGACATAAATGCACTTGCTGGGCATGGTGGCACATGCCTGTTACCTCAAGAGGTGGAGACATGAGAATTGCTGTGAGTTTAAGGCCAGCCTGGGACATACAGTGAGTTCAAGACTATCCTGAAACACGCAGAAAAACCCTGTCCCCAAAACAGCCAAATGTGGTGTACACCTGTAATCCCAGCACTCAAGAGGCTGAGACAAGAAGATTGCCACAAGTTGGAGTCCAGTGTGGACTACATTGTGGCTTTAAGAATGGCCTGGACTACACAGCACAGTGAGACCTTGTCTCAAGAAACTAAAGACAAAAAAATCACTACACTCCTGGACATATTTCCCAATAAAATGAAAATATGTTCATAAAAAAACATGTACACAAATGATCATAGTCTTAGTTCCAGACTCAGAACAAGCCAAATGTCCTCTAAAGGTTAAACAAGTTATGGTACATCCAGACTATGGGATACTAAGCAATACGGAGGAACAAACTCTTGGTATATACAACAGTTAGGGTGGATCAAGGGAAGGATGATGAGCCAATCATGAGTTATGACTCCATACTGAAATTACAACAACAGAGATTAAACACAAAGTAGTGGCTTTCAAACGTTAGGAATGGGGAACAAGGAACAAGGAGGGGGGGTGACGTGATGAAGTCCTTTGTGGTGACAGACAGTTCTGCATCTTGCTTGTGTGGTTACACACATCTGCCTGTGGGACAGACACGCAAGTGAATCCATGTAAAATCAGTGAAACCTATAGATTGTACCAATGCCTATTTTCTGTGTGTGTTATTTTTGGTGCTGAGGACTGAGGATGTAGAGCTAAAACATGCTGAGCATGTGCATACCACTGAGATATACCCTGGACCTGTCAATTTCCTGCCTTTACCATTCAGGAAAACTAAAAGTATAGAGAACCTTCCTGTATTTTGTTGTTGTTGTTGTTTCTAATGAATCTAGTTATTATTTTATTACAAAATAAAAATTTTGTGGAAAGTTGTATGAACCCAACAAAGCTGGGCAAGGTGGCACAAGTCTACAATCCCTGCACTCAAGAGGCTGAGGCAGAAAAATCGCTGTGAGTTCAACGCCATCCTGGGATACATACTGAGTTCAAGTCCAGCCTGAACCACATAGCAAAATTGTGTGAAAGAAAGAGAGGAAAAGAAGAAAAGGAGGGAGAACCTGTCGTTAAAAAGAGAAGATAAAGGCCCAATGTAACAAATCATTATCTTTAGGCTGAAATTGTTTGAAGGTATGGTGGGTGTTCAGGTGTGTGTTGTTTTAGTTCCTTCCTTTCCATCAGAAGCTCCACTTGGTGGCAACTAAGTGGTACCTGGCCCATGGTGAGCGCCGTGTGAAGGGGTGAAGCAGCAGTGAAGTGTGTCTTTATTAACAACAGCTGATGATCTTGGCAACATCTTTCTGAAGGGTAAAATGCTACTAGTTGTTCTGAGGCAGAAGGCTGGAGTCCAGACCTGGGTGCTTTCTCTTCACTTTTGGCCTCATTGTCCTGAGTTTTGACCACAGGAGGAACTTTCAAAATTCTCTGGGCACAGGAAGAGTGTAAAAGCCTAGACACTCTTTCTGGGGATTGCCATTGGCTCCTCAGATGGTGGGGGTGTGCGGCATATCGTGTGTGTCAAATAAAATCATTCAACAAAGCTGGCTAAGTGCGTCTGCCCTGCGCCAACACAAGCCTTGTTTTAGGTACTGAATGTACCCTGGTGAGCAAGAGAAGCTCCTGCCTCCAGAAGCTAAGTTTTCCAGGAGAGGACTTGACCTTGTACAAGTGAATAATTATTTCAGTGTATAACAAGGGCCATGAAGAATAAGTTAAAGAGCCAAAGGCATCCTCTATAATTCAGTTGAGTCAGGACAAATCCCTGGTCTGTGCTGTTTCTCCCCCAGACAAAGGCTTTGATAAAAGACATTCTGAAAAATACCCTTGACACAAGAGGACTCACTGCTGCTCCGCACTGAGCATCACAGCAGGTCTGGTGGGACCAGAGCTGGAGTCCAGGCTCAGCTACCTGTCAGCCACATCTGCCTAGCATAAATGGATTTTGGCATAAACATTTTTATTTTTACTTTGGGCACTGGGCGTTGAACCCAGGGCCTCACACATGCTAGGCCAGCACAGCACTATTGCAGACAGCTAAGTTAGGTAGAAATATTGAAGGCAGTCAGACAGGACTAGGCGCATCTGTCAAAGGCCAGGCCTCAAGATAAAGTTGGAATGACCAGGCCTACATGTCTCCCTGAGGGATAAGCAATAAACTGAAGATTATACTCACCTGGTCCAATAAAGTCTAGATAGACATCAGTCACCCAGGTGGGTGACCAGGACCTCCTGATCCATCCCTTGCTAAAGTATTTCTTTCCATGTACACTTGCTACATGACCTGCTCCCTCACTGGATCAATATTACCTAAAGGCTATACTTGTACTCTCACTGGTCGATCACAGTTTTAACCTATGTTGTAACCGCCTCATGATTTTGTACCCATCTCATGATTTTGCTCTATAGAACTTCCTCTGTGAAATGGGGTCCATAGCAACCTTCTTTTAGGTCCCTCCTGTCTTAGAAGTTATCTGTCTCAATAATTTTTTCCTACTCTTAACCTCTGTTGTTCCTTAAAATTTATTCTTTGACTCTGGGAAACATGAACTTGGTGTATGAGGTCTAGCAGGTTTATTTTCCCTATATCAGCACCATTGTGCCACATCCCTGGCCATGCATTGTTTTGCAGTTTTTAACCCCCCAAAATAAATAAATATATATATATCTCCCCACAGGGGAAAAAACTGAGCAAATATGCTAAACTATTACTGTTAATCATTTTGAGTGGAAGTAATTTTCTTCTTGATACTTTTCTGTATCTATTTAGGGCCTTTTTTTTTTTTTTTTCTGGTACCAGGGGTTGAACTCAGGACCTTGCACTTGGGAGGCAGGCACAGCGCCACCTGAGCTAATCCCCGGCCCTAGCCTGGCTTTTATAAAAGTCTTACTAAATCTCCAAGTTGCCCTGCTAGTCTTGAATTTATGATCCTCCCATCTCAGCCTCTCAGAATGCTGAGGTTACAAGTACTGTATATGCATGCCACCATGCCCTGTTACTTTATCCTTTTCTGCAATTTTAGAGGTTTTTTGTTTTTTCGTTTTTGGTTTTTTTTGGTACCGGGGATTGAACTCGGGTCCTTGTGCTTGCAAGGTAGGCCAACGAAACGCTGAGCTAAATCCCCAGTCCCTCTTTTCTGCAATTTTAAAACAAGGCTCTATTTCATCCTATGGAGTGTATCTGAGCCCAGAAAACCTAATCTGCTTCCCTCTTCATCTCGAAGGTGGGCCTTGGCAGTGTTGCTGTCCCTGACCCCACAGCTGTGTTCAACTCACTCTGAGGTCTGGCTTTCAATTCCAGAACCCAACTCATCTTCTAACATGTTTTTAAATTAGTAAGAGTAATTTCCTGTCTGTTGCTTCAACTGAAAACCTTTAATACAGGCATCAAGAGTTAACTGCTATGGTAAAACATCAGGCTATCCCAGATGTTGTGGCACACACCTATAATCCCAACACTTGGGAGGCTGAAGCAGGGGGATCATTGCAAATTTGAGGCCAGCTTGGGTTACATAGTGAGTTCAAGGTCAGTCTGAACTACATAGCAAAACCCTGTCTCCAAACAAACACACACAAAATGAAACAAAAAATCAGGGTGTGTGTAGAGTTAGTGCATATCTGCACTGGTAGGCCATGCCTGTTATGAATTATGCCTACTCTCCTTGCTAGTACCTGGATTATACTGGACCATGGGATTCTGGTGCATGCTTATAATTTCAGCACTTGGGAGGCTGAGGCAGGAAAAATCAAGTGAGTTACAGGCTACCTTGAACTACATAGTGAGACCCTCTTCTCTCAACTCTACCCCCACAAAAAATCTGGAAAGACCAGTCACATGGCCTGATGGGAGTCAGAGGAGTCAGAAACTGACAGCACATCCTTTAAGCCATCCCTCCTGAGTATCAGTTGTCCATCTACAGGTAGGAAAGTGCATAGTGTGTCTAGGGAACTATCAGAGGACCTGGACATCTCCAGCCCCAAATCTGATGACACACATCATCTCTTGCTCATTACTCAATGGCTCCAGGACAAAGTGTGACTTCGTTAATGTAATTTGATCTCCAATCTGTGGGAAGAGATAAGGTACCAGCAGG